CCCCCCCCCCGCGGGCAGCCAAACGTGGATCCATAGCCAGAGACCCAGACACCGGACTGGGGGCCGTGCAGTGCAGAGGAGGAGGAGGAGGCATGTCTGTCCCAAAGGGCTGCAGTCTGAGATGAGATGCTGCGGTTCAGTGTGGACTGACTGACATTCTGAAATAACAGATGTTGTGCTGAATGCCCCGATGAGTGTATCTTTCCATGTCTTTATGAGTGTTTTGAGGGAGAATGACAGTGGTTCTGTAGATGTTTGAAGGAGCCCCTCACAAGCAGGAGCGGGGCATGGGTGCGAGTGTGGTGTTTGTGTGCTACAGCTTGGACAACCAAAGCGGTTTTTTGTGTCAGAGTTATGCTTTCTTAGAGATTGTGAGGATACTCTTGGAGACAAGAATTACAAGGTGGCCCCGATAGTGTAACAACACACAACTGATTTTAAGCCTGTGTCTTTGATCAAGGTTTGGTTTACAGCCTAAGATGAGCAGCATTAAATCTGCATGCAGACGTAAGTAGGTTAGGATCAATATACCAGCGAGGCTAGCATGAACTCTGCAGTGGAGGCACGTGCTTAAATACTGTGAATGTTTGCACGTGGTACCTGACATTGCATATAAAAGCAGCTCCCGTGCAAAAAATACCTGCCACCAAGTGGGGCACTGACAGGGGTGAAAGACTAAGCTCGGATAATTAGTTCATTCTGTTCCCTGTTGAACATGTAGGTTGAGCACCACTTACATCTTTACATACGTCATTTACTTAATTCATGGGGCTTCACTGACCTGAAACTGTCCACATCAAGGTTGTTAAAACAGAATAAAGATTGCTTGGTTTACATTTTATGTACTGCTGCCATATACTACTGGTGGGTTAACTATTGGGAGTGTGTTGGGAAGAGGTTTGTTTTAATATTTTAATGGCCTTTTTTCCTGTTCTACAATTTAAGATGTCCCTTTTTTTTTTTTATTTAAGTACTGTCCGAAAACGACTGCGAGAGGATAGAAAAGCTAACACAGCACAGAAGCTGCAGCAGATGAAGCAGAAGCTAAATGAGACTGAAAGAAAAAGAAAAAGGTGGTTATACTGGAAACCTATTCTCACTAAGATTGGGTTTGGCACACTGATTTTAGTTGGCGCTTATTCTTGCTGGAAAATGTATTTTCAAGAACATTCCTTGTAAGTAAAGAGTAAGCCTGTCTGCTCCAGCAGCTAATTTTGCTGCAAATAAATGACTAGGGGTGTGACTTAAAGCAGTAAACTCTCTACACCTGGAATGGGTACAGACCGTTACATACAATAGAGAAGTGATGTAAACTTGATCCTATGTCAACATCTCAGGACTTTCCACTGCAGGTACTTACAAAAGTGAACTGCTGCCCCCCAGCAAAGTTGATGGTTTTTGTTTCTATGAGCAGGTACAAACTTGCTCCAACTGTTTATACACTTTTTAAAATGGTGTTCTACCAGATCCTAAGCAAACCCTGAACCACAGAGGTTTAGCTACTGAAGGCTGTCTGGATTTAAATTTACATGCCTGACATAAGCAATAAACAGTGTTGTATCATTTACATTATTAATGCAAAGAAGTTATCCTTAAATGTGTGTAATGTGTAATGTACTAGTGACATGAACATAAACATTTTATATTCTTATGACCTAGGATAAATATATTTTATAATTGCATATTTAATCTTTTTGTAGTTCACTGTACTTTTAAAGCTCAGTTTGTACAAATTTCTGACCAAAAAGAATTTGATTTTGAAACTAAATGTAATTATAATTTGTGCATGACAATAATAGTGCAACCATTCCCCATATTTTGACTCTCCACTTTATGATATGAGCAGCTAGGGGTCTGAAGGAGCACTTACCAATTTCTACTCTGTTAATTTGCATTCCTTATTTATTTTTTTGTAGTTTTCATTATTTAAGTAAGGCTTGGAAATTTGATTTTTTTTTTATAAGGCTTTTGAGAACTTAGCCCCCACTGAAAAGCATACTGTTAAGTTGATTAATGTATTCAGAGTTCAACTACTGTTTGAAGGCCAACATTGTTAAAGTTCTGACATTCCATTAAATGTGAAACGTAATGTTTTGTGTGTCTATAGATTCTAATTGCTAGAAAGAATAAAAGTCATTCATTAGTAATAGGTGTAGAAAGCACATCAAAGGAAACTGTAGCTGGACTTCCAAAGGTGGTTGTAATAGAAAACAAATGTTGGTAGTGTTCTCCTGTACCCAGTATGTTCAGCTGCATGAGCCACTTCCGTAACTTTGCAAAGCCCAGAACTGCTTTGCAGGTTCCCCAGCACTGTATTAGAGAGGTATGACTTAAAACACTTAATGACTAGTATTTGAGGAATTCCTAGGCTACGGTCGCTTTAAAATTATTCAGCACTCCCTTTCCACTAGTTGGGTGATAACACTTTCTAAATAGTATCGTATGTGGCTGTATGTAGCTTGCTGTCATTCAGGTTGAGACCTAATAATTTGTAGTATTGGACTGCACTTTGAAACCTGGATGTTATTTATTCAAGCATTGCCTTGCTGGCCAGCTTCAGAGAAGTTGTGTTTTCTCCCTCCATTTTCCTAGCCTGGTTGTTTTCTGTTGGGTATGGGGTTTGGGGGCTGGTTCTTCCCCCCCCCCTTGTCTTTTTGTCAAGCGTGTCTTGGATTTACTACTGAAAAATACTAGAAGAGCTAGACAATGACTTTGCTCCTTATCCAAAGGAATTAACTTGAAAGGTTTCCAGTATGTTCAAGCTTAGTAGTAACATACCAGGCGTGGGTCACAAATAGTCTGATGTTTACTACGCAAAGCTGAGTTGAGTTTACTCTTTGAAATTCTCATTTCACAATAGCTAATACTGTTTTGGACTACGCTGTTTATATAGTAAACAAATGCTTAAGGGTCCAGATATGGAAAACAAGTGTAGTTTCACACAGTTCTGAATTTGGGAAATTGTGTGTCAGTAAAACGAGACGGTTTGTCCTGTGGCATTACTGACCGACTGTACAGCTCTAATTTACTGACGGCTGTGACACAGTATAGGCAGGCAGCTTATGTATTTTAAGACATGTCACAATTTTTACAACCACAGTAACTCTTTTAGCCAACAAGAGGCTTGGCAAAAGATTCTTTTTCTTTAAATTGAGAAGACAGGTTTTTCAGTATCACCTGTAACTGACAGTAGGTGTAAATGTATGTGCCTTATAAAAGTTATTTTGGTTATGGAAAAAAACATGGAATGTAATTAGATGCTTTTGTAACATAAATACTCCAGATTTTATTCTGAATACTTAAAAGCAGCTAAGGAAAAAGTGCAGGCAAAACCTTGACTGAAATCACACTGTCATTTGTCACCTTTCTGTTTGCATGAGAAAGATTTCCTGGGCCATCAGTATCCTACAGACACAGAGCTCTAACTGTGTCTTGTCAAGCTGTCACTTGGATTTTTTCCTGATTCCATCTTCTAAATGCTGGCTCTTTTGTTTTCTTGATCCTGAGCAGGCATTCCTCTTTTCTGGGTGGGACAGGGCGGGAGGGGGCCATTTTGCATCACCTCACACTCTGCTACCTTTTTGATGCAATAAAGCAGGACTTTCACTTTCAACAGCTGATCTGTAAAAAATTTGGTTTGGTTCTATGATTGGAAGTGTCTTGAGAGCCTTAACTGTTAATAATTTAAGGACCGCGAACCAATACAAGTCTTGGACAAAACTATTTTGTACAGCGAATTGACCGTGACAGTATGAGAATAGGAAGGGAAATACGAGATCTCTTGGTACATCCCAGGAGATAATTAGGATAAAACTCTTCTTTCTGGTCCGTCAGTAATCCTTAAAACCAAAATCTGGGGGAGGCTTGTTCTCCTTACTGCAAACTGAGCCCTTGTGACACTTGGTTATTCTGTGGGATTTAAACTTGCAGCGGTGTTGCACAACTTGGATGTTAAATAAGAACAAATACGGGCCAAAATGAAGAACTGTTGATCCCAGTGACCTGTATCATAGGAAATGCTTAAAGAAAGAGTGAAAATGAAGGGTGTGCCTTCTGACCACTCTCCAGCCTCCCTCCCCCCCCGCCTCAGTTTCTGGCAAGCTGCTGGCTGGTCCTGTGCTGCTTCTAAAATGCTGTTGCACTTGATTGAAAGTGTTACTGTGTTGGGTTTTCCCCACTGTCCTGGAAATATATCACTCAAAATATTGGATGCGTAGTGGGCTTCTCTGAATTTTGTTAAACAATGTGTGACTCTCAGATGAACACTTGTGTACAAATCATGCATGTTTTTACAAAAAAAAAAAAAAAAGAATTGCTAGCAAACATTTGGACCTCCATTGCAAGGGGTTTGCAAACTTGGATTTAGTCCTTTAGGTTTTCTGTTTATGTTCTTGGTGCAGGGACAGCCTGCTTAGAGTGATGGTACATCTGTATTCTTCTTGAAGTGTATTAAGTAAAATAAGTGAATTCAGTGTGAAATAGTGATTTGAAAGAAAATTACAGGTTTATTTTACGGAAGTAAGATGTTGCAAGTGAAACAGCTTATTTTGTTAAACCTTGAATAAAATGGTTTACTGACATCAGTTTATATCCCACTGAGAAGGGAAGAGGTGTAAATGTGTATGCCCATATGTGTGATTAGATTGTGCAGGCAATTAAACAGCCTGGCAAGCTTTAAGTTTAACGAATGTTAAGCAAATTATTTAGTTTGCTGTTTGGCGTTATAGTTAAACCTGAGTCACTTGAGGACTGCACAAGAAACTAAATTAATGATGACAAAAGAGGAAGTCTTCTGCATGGCCAAGCAGCTTAAGTCAGAGGACGGGATTTGCAGAGTTGACATAACACACAGGAGTCTTCCTGGGCTTTTTTGTTTTCCCCCAGAGTTTTAGGTCAGTCTTTCATTTTTCTGTACAAAAAATAAATGCGTTCAAAATTGCACCTCTGTCTGAGTCTTTATTGAAATTGGAAGGATAAATACTTGGAGGAATTTTTTTAAAGTGTCTTAACTGATCAAAGAAGGCTGCTTTATGAATCAGTGTAGTGCTTGCAGATCTTGGAAGTGGTTTACTTGTAGTAGTACCTTTTAAGTACCAAGGCCTTTTTCTGTGTTCCTTGGAGTAGAGCCTTCCCTTGCCCCAGAACAAAATTTCCCGTGTGGGGATGTCTTCCTCACTAGGTGAAACCTTTGCCTAGAAACTCAGATTTCCATGCCGCTGTGCCAGGACTGGCCTACAAAGCCATGAGAGGGGATGTTAGTGTTTTGAGATGCAGCCTTCTGTAGTCCTGCTAAGGCCCAAGAGGACTTCTGCAGTGCTTGTGGTCAAACGCAGGAGTAAGTGGTTTGCTGGACTGAGACCTGTACTTGAAGCTCTCCAGCACGTACGTGCCTTATACTGTAACATGGAAATACCTTCTGAAAAGGCAACAGCTTTCCCAGGGTGCTTGCTGCAGGCAAACAGTAGTCAGTAGTTGCTACAGGGAATGCATGAGAAGTTGTTTGGTGGTTATAGTGAGTTGCAAACCCACTGTCTCTTCTTAGTTCTTTTCTTTTTTTTTTTTTTTTTTTTTTTTTTCTCCCTACTGTGTACTGAATCGGTGACTTTCTTTTGCGTTGTATGTCACAGGCCGAGACTGACTGACACCTAAGCCTTCAAGACTTGTGAATATTCTGCAGCTATAAACTGCAAATTATTGACATGCAAAGTGAGACATGAACCCCTCTTCGGGAACAAAAAGTGAGGTCTGTTAAGTACCAAGAAGACCTCAGTTATCTGTTTACAGCGTAAACTGCACCGAGGGGACGAAGACCACCAGCAGCGTGCTACTTTGCAAAACAAAATCATTTGCCATCTTGTGTTTTTATAATGCCTGTATTAATGTAGAAAGATGTAAAAGAAATAAATTAGGAAATATTTTGTTTTGTACTGCCATTCTTATTGTATTTTTATACTTTTTGGCAGCATTAAATATTTTTTTAAATTGACAATATGCTGTTGTGTGCGCATTATGTTAGGGAGAAACTGTTAAGAGCTTGTTTTGCAGAAGAAGAAATGTTTCGCCTTAAGGTTTCCTGATATCCTGTCGTAACTGGAAAACATGCTTTACGCAAATATTTTCATTAATGCTAAGTATTGTAGTTTGAGCTAGGAGGAACTCTGGCACATGTCTTTTGTAATATACCACTAAGAATATTATTTTATTAATCTGACCAGTTGGTTTGGTAATCCTTCTCATGTTTGCTACAAAATATGCACAAAATGTCCAGAGACACTTTGTGAAGGGAATGTCTTTTGTTGTTGATGCTTTAAACGGAGGAAAGATGGGAAATGGGAGTGGGTGCTGAGGGCCAGGTGGAAAGCACACAGCAGCAACCGTGTCTTTAATTAAAAGGCTTTTGGATTGTGTCATCACAGTGTGTTGTATGTATAATATTTTACTTCACATCTCCTGTCGGTGTTCACCCTGACACAGTCTGAGCAGCTGGATTGGGAAGGGGTAAATGGAATGCCACTCAAAGGAGGTCTTCTCATGGACTTAGCAGGGTTTCCAGCCCTCTACCTTCTGTAATGGAGCCCATCGAAATTCTGCACTCGATGAGGTTCTCTGACAGTTTCAGATAGACCTTAATTCACCAATACCCTCTATTTAATATGACTGTCTAGACTAGTATGTGGTGGGGTTTTATATATAATTTGTACTTTGCATATTTTTGTAACAAGTTTTTGTACAAATCATAACAGTTGCTGATAGCAGAGCATGGAAGAGGGGGGAGATCCAAGCCAGCTTAAGGCTATTTTTGCTAAAATAAGTAGCAACCAGAAATCATAAATTGGCTTGGAGGCTCAGTCACGAAAACAACTGTATTTAGTGTTGTGTTTAACTGGAAGGTGAAGCTGAATCAGAGGAGCCCCTAATGCCATTACTTGAGCCAAATACGTGCTTGATGCCATCTTGAAATCATCTAAATCACCAGTCTGGTTTGTCTGAATATTTTAATTTCTTTAGATGATGAGTACTGTTCCTAGCCGATGTTGGAGGAGAAAACAACATCACAACTTGACTCAGCTTTCATCTCCTTCATGTTGGTGCAGCTGCAAGGCCAGGAGCATTCATAATGAGAGACCAAGGTCTGCCAGACTATGGCAGTAAACCCTGCTGATTACAGGAGCAGAGCCTGTTTGTGCCACCGGGGACATCTTTGGGTACGGCTTTCAGCCACTCGTGCCTTTTTACCTTCAGCTATGATTTAAGTTTTCATTGTTTTTGTCCTCTGTGAATTTTGAGTAAGCATAAGGTGTGTGACAACAGGGAATGTGTACATGCTTCATTATTTTACCTGCTGCTATCAGAGATGACTATCAAATATGCAACTGATTTGGTTTATCTTGTGGGGTGTAGAGAGCTGAATGTACTTTGGCCCTTGTCGCACCGTGGACTCTTATAAACAAAATGCTGATTGCTTTTGGTTTTTAAGTGCTTTCCATCTACTGAGCTGCTGGACTAAATTTGATGTCAGGCTAACTTGATGAATAGGCAAAGGCGATAAAGATACAGTAGTTCCAAAACCAGAGCTTTGTTGGGTTTTATTGAGGGCTGCCTTGTGACAGCAGAAGTCTTAGCTCACTGGCCCAGGAACTTCTGACCTGTGCGCTGGTTCTGTTATTTCTACACAAGGCCACAGTTCTTTACTACTACTGGGAAAATGTATGTGAAATGGTGAAGGAAGGGGAGATGCTGCCTTCTGAGAGAAAGGACAATTGAGTGTCTAACTGCAGCCTTAAAAGAAAGGGGGTTGGAAGGAGAGACTTGCAGATTTTCAAATGAAAAACCTGTGATTTGCTGGCTGCCATTTCTTTTTTTCTTTCAATCGTCAAGAGAAATGTCACAGGGCTAGTCATCTTAACAGGAGGACAAAACTGCTGCCTTGTTCTCCAGCAAGGTTTTGGCATGCAGAAGGGTAGGCAGGCAAGGTGGGGGCAGCGGTTAGATTTGCGTGTCCCACGGGCAGGTGGTGGAAGCGGCAGGCTGGGGGGAAGCAGACCTGCACCAGCACCTGCCCTCGGGGGCGAGGGGCAGCCAAGGGCAGCTGCTGCCCATGCTGCAGTGGCACCTGGAGAAGCCACCTCCTTGTCCCGATAAAGACTGAAAGGTCCGGAAGAGCCAGAACCGGTACCTTTTCCACAGGCAGCAGGAAAGCCTTCAGGGTTTTCTCTTTCAGAAAATGGTCACAGTACTGAGTGCTCCCCTTTTTCCTTCTCCTTGAGGCTTTGCTCCGCTGGGCCTCTTGAGGAGGTACTTAGCATCTATGGCTCATTTAAGAAAAATATTGTGAGGCAAATGACACCCCCTTCATTGCTTTTGTCTGATCCTTCATTCCTTCAATACTTAATTTGTCCTCTTGCTACATATACACTTTATAGTAACTTTTTAAAAGTTACAAGGAATCCTTTAGTGCTTAAAAAAGCTCAGCCCTGTCTTTTTTCTCCTCTACTCCAGAGTATGTTTTGCTGGTCACAAGTATAAAAGTGTAAAGAAATTATCAGTTTGAATGCACTACTGTTCAAACACAGCTTCCTCAGTTTGGAAGAGCACAGGCTTTATCTTCCCCCCGACTCACCTGAGCATACCTTGCGCAGAATCCTCTTCCTGCCCTTTTCTGCTAACAACACAAGCTGTGCTGGTATTGTACTTGAAGAGGAACCCAAGAGGAATTGCTGCCAGTTTTGAAAGCTCATTATCGCTTCCCAGCGTTTTCTTGTACTTGGCGTTCTGCTCCATGTTAAGTTTCTGATGAAAAAAATAAGCTCTGTTGCTTTTTTCTTGCTTACAGCACTTGAAGAATAGCGTCAGTATATATTTATGTCTGCAAAACATGTTTCTATCTCACGACTTGCTCTATTCATCAGTTTTTAAACTCCAAGAAACTCCTTGCAATTGTGTCGTTTTGAAAATGTCTCCGATTGTGGCAAAGATGATGCCTGAAAGCAGCAGTCTAGCCTCTGTTATGATGGTTTTGGTTAAGTGCTTAGTAGTTGTAGTTGCAACATCAGATAGCAGATACCCCAATTCAGATCCTGATTTTTTTATTTTCAAATAACGAGCACTACTCTGGGGAATCTCACCTTTTTTTTGTGCCACAGGGTCTATTATTTTTCACAATATATTAAAAAAAATAAACCACAAAGTTTGTGGCCTGTCTGGAATGGTCAAGTCTTCATCCTTACTATCAACAAGTAGCTTATAACCCAAGATTTAGAACACACTTTTCTGCAGTATAGCGATCCGCTTGTGGACTGCTCCTTCCTAATTTTGAGAGTGCACTATGGAAGCATTTTTACAACCGTGAATCTCTGATAACAGTAAGTATCTTGCTGGTTAAGACCACCTGTCCAACCAACAATAACGTTGCCATAGCTGCAAACTCCTAGCTGGAGGACGCCACAGTTTAACTCACGCTCATTCTGAGGATCTGTGCACTCCGGAGGGGGAGACTACAACACAATGCAGACATCGGGCAAACTCAGGGGATGAGAAGGTTGATGCAATTCTGAGCATGGAGTTCATCATAACTTTATAGAGAGTGTGGAGAATTTAGAAGAGCACCCAGTGATAAAATCATAAGAACTTTAAGCCTTTTAACTGCTTGCAAATACTAAATTTCATGCCTCATACTTTCTCTTAACAGCTGAAAAGAGATGCCAGTAGTGGAAAACTGCTTATGACCACCATGGATATAAAGGTCAGTCACTCCAATGAGTAAGAGCAGAGGGTAAGACCAAGAAATCTTAGTATAATTTTGTACTTTCCACTGCCTGTCTTTCTCACAAGTTGATTGCAAGATTTAGATGAAAAGGTTAAGAAGCTGTTAAAGACTATCTTAAGGGAAGGGGGGCAGGAAAGCCACCCTAGCTACTACTAGTTAACTACATGATGGTACTTTTAAGTTAAAATACACCCAAGGGCTAATTTCAGTTTTCTTAGGGATCTTGCCGTTGTGTTACAATGGGGAGCTTATCCAACTTAAAAATTCTAGATTTAAAATTACTGTTAAGTAAGCTGAGGTGACCACGCACTTCCAAAAGATCAAAATGGAACATGTAGTTTTAACAAGTACCATTGTTGTGTAAGTACCATTACACAACTAGTGTCTCAGACTAAGCTTATAAAATACAGATAACAGACTGCCTGCTATCAGGGCAATGCTTTAATTCCTCTACATTTCAGAGCACTGTATTCACCCTCCAGTCAGTCTAAGAAGGCTCATCTACTTGGAAAGCTTTAGCGTCAGCATCTCTGCAGCCCTTGGAAGCAGAATGGAAATTACACAGTGGAAGTAGACCAGAAAAGATAGAACAGGCTGCTATATCACTTGCAGTCTCCCCAGCTGAAGCTACCACAACAGCATTGGGAAAGAAGGCAGAACTAGTCACTCCTGAGCTTTGCTTACATCACCAAGAAGGTTTTGAAAAAAAGCCAAGATCCACAGTTGACATGGAAGAGTAGGGTTTTATCTTCATAAGAAAAATTTATGCCTGCACGTCAATCTCGAGTTCTCAGCTACATTAAGAAGGTGCGCCATAGGCTTTTTCTTAGCAATAACACTTAACCAAAGAAAGAGGTTTTTTAAAAAATATTTTATTAGAAAAAATTTCAACCGAAGTTATTCACTAAACAACTGTACAAAACATATTTCTTTGGTCAATTTGTGAAAGTTACCTTAATTTCTTTAGCTACCCACATCTGTGAAAGAAATTTTTCTTAAATAAAGAATTTATGTACACAACAAATTAAGCTGCTGTTGCTTGGCAATGACTATGTAATCACCTTCTCAAGGGATGTTTGAGACTGCACGTGTGACTTACAGAAGAATTCAAAACTGATCAGAAGAGTGCAGGTGGAAGACCGTTGCCAAAAAGTAAGCGCCAAGAACTTGGTATTTTCCATTGTGAAGAAGTATCTGTGGAATTGTTGCTCTGCAACAAGAACAGAATAATTCTTTAGGTTTTAAATAATAATGATGTAATTCTATCTCTGGCACATGTTTTAACATAATGGGCAGCATTTCAAGTCTCAGTATCATTGTGGGTTGCTTTAGGGAAGAGTACTGGAAGATCCAACTTGATCAAACCTTGACGCAATTTCCCCCCCACACTTGTCAAACAAAGGGACTGGGGTTTAGGTTTGGCTTTTCAGGTGGGGAAATTCCCAGTGAGATTTTAAACCAAAACGTATTTTTAATTTGGCATATACTTGATGACCAAAGGCGAAAATGAACCCAAGCCATACATTTTTAACTTTTCTAAAATTCAGCTGAGTAACATTTTTCATGTGCTGAAGAAAAATGGAAATTACAGATAGGAAATATGAAAGCAAGAACTCTAGATCAAACATCACTTACTTCGCTTTTAATTAGCTGGAGCCATTCATTAAGATAGTTAACAAGAGCAAATGCATCAGGGATGTTGTCCCCTTCTGAGCAGAATTTCAGAAGAACTGCCATTTGGATTCCTTTTGAACAGCTGCAACAAAAATGAGCAGGCATTTCTATTTCTTGTCTAAATCCAGAACACTTACATTTATGTATTAAGAGCAATAACAAACTGCATATGGCTTGTTACAAAAAACCAAACCCAAACAAAAAGTAAAAATGTATGCGCATATATAGATTTTTTTTTTCCCCTCTCCAGACTTCCTTGCTTGCATTTTCACACTTAATGTTCTTTTTCTTAGTCTTGAATTTGTTCTTTGCTTTGTGAGGCAGGAATCCTCGGTCATGAAAGAGTTACTCAGGGCCTCTTTTACATACTTAGTTTGCATTTTTGTGCTGGTGGGGCATTTATACAGATCCTTTGATACAATCACTCCTTATCTTTCTGTGTATTTCAAACAGCAGTTTTGCACGCTGCATGTTACTACTTTACTCACAATATTCCCATTTTTTCATTTAGATATTAATATTATTATTTTTTTAAAGTTTTTTTTCCTAAAGTCCTGGGAGGTCTTTTCTTTTGCATTTGTATGCTGTTTCCATACCAAAGTCAGTACAAAGGTAAGCACGATATTAATAACTCCTGCTGTTGGATGCAACAGTTTGGACAGGTGCCAAAAACAATAGCTAAAAAAATAAAAGTTAATTTTCCACCTGACACTTAGAAACACCTTTTGCAGAGCTAACAAACACAGTTATACCATAATGAGCGAGTACTACTATCCAAAATTTGAAACTCCGACATGCTTTCAGCACAACTTCTGATGCACACACCTTTTAACAAAACCCCCACATCTAATTGTTTGCTGGCCCTGAAATCTTAACTCTTTCTTAGTGCTCAGAATTTTTTTTTAACAACTGATGATGGAACTATTTGTCACAGGAAACAGTTTTAGTTAAAGTATCACAAGTATAGGAATTTTACTATTTACAAATTCTGGTTTGCATAAAATCAGATACCAGATTAATCACGATCTTAACTGTAAAGGCTTTATTATTTTCCTTTAGCCCACTCACTTATATTTTTATCATATTTTAACTTTATGATGCAGAATTCCCTCTTTTTTTCCCCTCTTAATTATGGGCTTGATCTGGAAGAAGTTCTATTCCTATAAAACCCTTCTCTATGAAAAGAGGGACCTTTCTTTTCCTACAACATAGTGGTTTAAAAGATAATTTTACACATGTACTAAAAAAAAAAGACTTCTGATACATTTCCGTGCTTGTCTTTGGGCAACTCACCTCTCAGTAAATAATAGTTTTGTGATGCCACCTCCAGGAATATGTAGAACTTTTTCTGTATCATTTATTCCAGGGTAAGCTGCTATTTTTTCCATTTCTTTCCAGCTTAGCTCCTGCATAAGGCCTCCAATTGCTTTCTCAAGATCAGGTGTAAGTAGGTAGCGTAGTGGTGTCCTAGAAACAAATCAAGAATACAGTCAGTCTGACAATAAAAGACACTACCAATGTTATAACTCGTGACAGAAGGAAGCTGCAAGCATTGAGGACATCACACCTGCAATAAAGAATTGCATTGATATTCCCTTCCTCCTCAAATCAAAGTTTAAAAGTAGTCTGTGGCCTCAAAACAGTACAAACTACTCAACTTTCTGCCACAAATAGAACTAAGGTACCCTCTTTTTAGAGGCTCAAATGACTGGCAAGTACCAGATACATAAGCACATAAATTGGAGAACTGCTTATGGTTGTTAAAATGATTTACAAATAAAATGTGCTTTTTCTTCCTTCAGATAGGAGGTGATTAATTTAAGATTTGTTAGGGTAAACTTGGACTTCACCATGATATGGTATTTTTAATAAGCTCCCACTACAAATATATGCAGGCTTCAGTCAAGTCTAAGTGTTTTCTGAATGCACTACCTTCACTCTTTAGTCAATCTGCTATAAGAGGGTTACTCTGTGGTGCTGAGGCAAGGAGCGGGGGTGCACACACGTGCCTGTGTGTGTTAAATCACCACAACTTATGACTCCGACTACATCGAATAACGGTCAGTCCCTCTCATTTCATTCTGTGTTAGCTGGCCATTCTGCAACTGTATGCAAATATCACTGCTAACTCTATCTGGGACGTACATGGACCTAAACCTCCTATAAGGCCCTACACATTTATAGTCTGAGGATAACAATTGCTCTTTTGCAAAAACAATGATTTTTGTTTGTGTTAAATCACCAATTATGATGTCCTCAATCAGCCAGTAATGCTTGTTTTTTAAAGGGGTAATATCTAGTAAGAGTACATATAGTCTGAACCTTGCAGTTGCCTCTCAGCAAATAAGAATTGATAACTTCCTATAAAAAAAGAATGACAACTTACTATACTGAAGAAAACCTTCAAAATGCAGAATAATGAAGAAGAGATAAGAAACTAACCAATATTCTAATTAACTGTTAAAAATCTAATCTGTGATCTGTGTGTTAGGAGCTAATCCCTGACATTGCTTGCAGCCACAGGAAATTAAGAAGTTAAAACTGAGGCTCTGTTGCCTGACAGTGCAGGCCAAGTCCAATTTACTTACAGCTTACTATTTGCTCAGTGCTTTCGACAGTAGTCACTAACAAAGTTCAGAGACTAATCCTGTATAACATAATGTTTTAATAGGATATGAAGTATTTTATGATCTATGTACACAGCCAAGCAAAAGAACCCTGCCAGAAGTACTCAGTAGAGGGAAATATGTCAGTTTGTCAAAAAGAAGAGAAACATTAATTAGGTCTTTTAATGACACAAACATACCCAAGCAGTTGCTCATCATTGCGCTGGTATGCATGGCTGCTAGACAGAAGAACGATTCTGGCACATTTGCTACTTTTCACCCAAGAAAGCAATGTTTGACAGAATGGCCTGTACTTGTTCTTTATGCAAAGAAAGAAGAAAAAAAAAGTGAAAAATATATTGCGTCCTTAAAAAAAAGCCAAAAGCCAACAATACTAGGTGTTAAATATAATGTTTAGCAGTGATGTTAATTTTTCTTCATATCCATTTAGACTTCAGCTTCAGATATATTTTTAAAAAGCAGAGGACTGCTCTGGATGTTTAGTTAATCAAAACTACAAGTATAATGATAAAAATTATCATTAACACCATGTTAACAACAACAGTACCATCTGTTTTGTGTGCCATTAATACCAATGGAAAAAGCTTTATAGTAAGATGGGATGGTAGGATCACACAGTATTTTTTCACACTTTGAACTGCTAAAAACCGCAGCACAAAATTTTTTCTGGCACGGTATTCTGCTTATTTTAAATTACAGCCACTGTCCAGTTAATGAGTAATTCTAAATTCTTCATTTTTTACATAATGAATGCAGTTTAAATGAATATAGAACACTATGAAATAAGTAAATTGGAGTGACACCGAATATTAAGCTATTGCAATAGAAGAACCCACAAAAACAATAAATGTAGAGAAAAAAAAAAAAAGACAAAACCCAGACCATTTTGTATTTTCAAGACTGTTAATAACTAAAGATGTATTTACACTAAAATCTACCAATATAGGTGGGCTGTTATGGGGCTTGGAAAAAAAAACCAAACCCCAACCCTCAGTGAATGCAGAAGTCAGTTTTTGTCAGCTAAAACTGTATCAACTGCAGAAGTTGTTATAGCACAAAGCAGAAAAATATTTCTGCTAGGCCACTTAAAGTATTTGACAGCAGAACTATTCAAACTGAATAATGAAGTAAGAACAATCAATGAACATACCTACCTACCTTTATAAAAGGTGATCTGATCTGCAGAACTACAAGTTTCTTTGAAGGTAACGAATACACTACAAGAAGAAATAAATCAGTTTTGTAAGAAGAAAGCAAGAAAGAGATCTGGGTTTAGAAGTATCCAGATTTATCCAATTTACAAACTTCAGGATAGTAAACCTTTCAACTATCAATTCATATGGGAAAGCATGACACTATCCACAGCGTTAAAAATACGTAGTGTTGTGCATTGTCTTCACTGGACTTAATTTTGCTAAATTCAAAGGATTGAATGAAGAAAAATATATGAAGATCTGCCTCCTGTAATGATTCAGATAATCTCTTTATGCAGCTTTGCAAAGATTGACAGATTATTCTGAGATTTCCATGTTTTAAGAGGGAAAAAAAAAAAGAAATGCAATGATCAATGTAGGGAAAGAAACTAAGAATTTGAAGTGGGGACAGGGAGAAACACCACATAAGGAAAAAGGCAAACATAGGTGGAAAGGAAGGAAGAAGAGAGAATAAATATCCTTCCACACCAGAAATTCAGCTTGCATTCCAGTAGTTTACTGTAAGTATGTGCACACTGCATGTTGCTATGGCTTAAAACCACAGAGAGTTTTGGCTGCACTATAATATGGTTGAAATTCATCATTTCTTACTGGTTCCATATGTCAAACTTGTTATCCAAAATAACAATAGTAACAGTTTCCTCCGTGAAGCGTAAATACGTTCTTACCTGTAAGTTACTGAAGTGGTTATTACTGACCTTAGTTTAAACATTGTTCACATAAGCAAAATGTAACAACAACAAAAAAAGTAAATGTGACATTCTTACACCGTATGCAGCTTGCAAATGCATTCAGCGTTCAATACCCACCTTCAGCATTTATACTCAGCTCCATTGAATTTTCTTCTGCTGTTGCATATGGATTATTTCCAACCATTGGCACCAGGCAATCAGTGTAAAAGTAACCAACTTTAGTCATGTCAAGCGTGGAAATCACTAGATCTATTGCCAGTTGACCAACATTTCCCACTGACACTGCTGGCTGAAGTAACAGAAGTAACTGAATTACAGTGTGTTTTATGGACGATACAAGATGCTCTTCAAATAGTGAAAGTTTAAATTACTTAAATTCTGGTCAAACATAATTTCTAAAGTAATTTCTACTTCTTAACAGATTACTAATACAGGCATTGGTCCCTGTCCCACAAAAACATCCTGACCATTTCTGTGAATAATCCTGTCTCACTATAAACTTAAAGGCTTGGAAACTTGTCTCCTCCCTCTCTTTTTTTTTGGATACAGAGTAGATAAGTGTCACTCTGATGACTAAGGCCGAGATTGGCAGGCCTGACGTGACACCTAATGGTAAAGTTAATATTACATATTAAACCTGTATATCTCAGCTTGGCTCATCTACAAGAGTAGACTGTTCTTCATCTTTTCAGGACAAAACCGCTAAGGGTCATCTTAGATTCATTTTATAGGAATTACCACCAGTTATCACCAATCGGGGCTGATACCGGCCTAATCTGATGGCACCAAAAATCAAGAGCTTGTGTCCTTCTACAGAAACTGCTACAGGAAGAAAACAGTAAAATTTTCGCTTGCTTCCCTGTAATTTATAGGCAAGTCTGTGTCTACGAATTGCTGCTGCCACCGGCTGCAGCAACACACCGAATTTGACGCTGATGAGCTCGCGGTGAAAGAGGACATAGCAGCACTGACAGAGCGTCATGACCAACCGGCTGGCATCCAGCAGCCAACTGTTACTCCCAGACACAGAAACCAGCCGAGGTCTATTTCCTCTGGCTAGGCAGCTGATGGGGAACGACTTCCCGTGCAGCCTGCAGAGTCATCGCGGGCCGCGCAGCCCTCACGCAAGGTGATAAGGCTACCTTTAAGTAATACCCTAAAGGGACCCACTGGCTTGACAGGAGCAAAAAACACGGGGGGGGCGGGGGGGTGAGGAGGGAGACGTTGACGGAAACGGGAGAGACCGCACCAAGCTTTGCTGGAAACGGCTCTGGGAAGGACGCCTGCAAATCCTCTCTCACTCAGCAAAACATCCGGCAGATGTACGCAACCGCCCGCCCGGCGCCTCTCCGCCTTCCGGCGGCCGAGCACCCAGGGCCGGCCCCCGGCCGGAGGAGAGAGAAAGACCAAAGCGCCCCGGCCCTCCTGCCCCACAGGCGCGGGCGAGCCGGGCAGACAAGCCCCTGCCCGCGCCGCACAGAACAGAGAGAAGCCCTCCGCGCCGGGGCCCCGAGAAGCGGCCTGCCCCTCTCGCCCGCTGCGGAGCGCCCCCGTTGGGGCAGCACCCCCTGAAGCCCACCGAGGGCGGGAGGGAGGGCGGGGTTAGCAGGAGCGCGACTTACCATGAGCAGAGTGAAGCCTTTAAAGTCGGAGCCGGCGGAGCCGCCGCCACGGCCGCAAGGAACAAACATGCCGGCCGCGAAAGAACGGCCGCTGCGCCGCTCTCCTCAGCGGGGCGGGCAGGAACGGCCGTCAGCGCCCGCCTCGCGCCGTCGTGGACGGCGGTTGGGGGCGGGGCCTCCCGCGCGGCGCGCCCCCGCTCCTCCGGCGGCGGGAAGCGTCGCGGTTCGTTCTCCTGCGCTGCCGCCATGTCGCTGCCGCCGGAGAAAGCCTCCGAGCTGAAGCAGATCATTCACCAGCAGCTGGTTAAGGTGGGGGCGTCTTCGCGGTGGAGCGACTTCTCCTGCCGGGGACGGAGGGGGGGGCTTTGCTCCCTCCCGCGTCGGCGCTGCGGACCCCGGCCCTTGGTGACAGTAGTGCCCGCTGAGGTGGCGGCAGGGCACGCAGCCCGCTCGCTCCGCGCCCGCTCCCTCGCCCTGCTTTGTTTTTCCCACCACAGCCGCTCCAGATGGTTTCCAGGCGCCGTTTTGCCTTAGGGGCGTTTGCAGCCGTCCGCGCTCTCCTCTAATGGCTGCCTCGGCCCGCGGCCTTTTCCCCGCCGTCCACCGACCGCCTCCGCTTCTCGCCCTCCTCCCCTCGTTCCTGGGCTGCGGAGGGAGGGAGGGAGCCGAGGCCCCTGCCGTCCTGCCTCCCCCCGTTGCTGCTCTCTCACTCGGTGTCCCGTTCTGAGGAGACGGGGAGGGGACCTGGCGGGCTGAGCGGCGGCGTCAGCACCCCGAGGCTGGGGCTCTCTGAGCCGGGTTCCCTGGGCTGTGCCTTGAACTGAGGGGGAAGTAGATGGAATGCTTTAACTCGTGTATCGCCAGGTATTTCGGGTCCCAGCGGCTGCGTGGCCTTAACAGCCTTCCCGGCTGATCAGCAGCTTTACACATCCACGCAGTTTCACAGCTGAGGGGAAGGACAGAAATTGTGACTTCCCTTTGCGCGTAGGGGAAGCTTGCAATCGAGATTTACTACTTTGTGACTTACCTACAAGTATATAAAGGTGTACTTTTCCCCTTAAAAATTAAGAAACTATTATCAAAAGTTTGAATTTTGAGGGAGACGATAAATTAAAACAGTGAGCATTTTATAACAGATGGATTTGCGGACCTTTTTGTAAGGAGGGAGGTTCAAAGCAGGGGATGCTGCCAAAAGCAGTGAAAATGCTCATGTTTGGTATACTTGTGGTTTTTTTAACTGGTAGAGCTGCTTTGGTGAGATAGTGACTCATTTGATTAGTTCTGAAAAGATTAATATTTTGGTATAGTTATTTCTGTGTTCCTAGGAGAATACCTTTAGTCTTATAGAGTGACTGATTAGTCATAGCTTCTACAATATAAAGAGCTTGTATTTGTAGCATATAATGAATTTTCTTTTAGATGGATGTCCATGGCAGGATAAGAGAAGTTCTTGCTGAGACTATACGTGAAGAGTTAGCACCTGAGCATCAGCAGTTATCCACAGAAGATCTGATAAAAGCCTTAAGACAACGAGGAATCATTGATGATGTTATGAAGGAACTTAAATTTGTAACTGTAAGTAGCTTCTGAAGAATGAAAATGTTTTTGCTTATTCCTCTTACTGACTTGGTGTTTTGATAAAGCAAAACCTCGTTACTTCCAGAGGTTTGTTATGGCTTTACTGATTTGTGACATATTAGGAGCAGAACAGCTTAATGCATATGCTAAAATTGGTTTAATGATAATACTGCATTGAAAGTATTTGTTCAGTTTCGTAACATCTCAAGTACTAGGCGGGAGCATACCCAAGGAATGGCATTCAGTTGAAATGGAGGATTCTTTAATTTTTAGAAGAGTGCAGTAAGAGCACTGTGGCATCCCTTGGTGCATTAAAAGGTCTTAATTGTAATTCCAGGATGTGAATGAAAAGGAGAGGACTTCAGCTCCAAAACCATCAACACATTTTGTTGCCAGAGAACCACCAGTTTTGAAAAGAAGTATGTTGCTTGTTTATTTTAATATTTGGATCATAGTTTTGAGAGAAATTTGAAGTCTGTGATTTTTGAACTCTGAATGAGTAATCCAGTATGAACTGGCATAAAGGTGGATGTGTTTCCTGCTTGTCTACAGGAAGTAAATTCATGTAAGCAGCAGAAATTAGTGTCACATAAAATGTGACTTCTTAAAAAAATTCATTTATTTTACATTAAGATAACTTCCATAAATTTTAAAATCACTTTCTCCTAAGCATTTGTTTCAAAAAAGTTGGTTTTTTTTCTAGTCTCCTGTTAGTTAACGGATATTTAACATGCTTCCTAAGATCTGTTTGTAGTCTCTTCATTTTTATTGCTACGCTTTACAGCTAACATTGACCCAACACGGAGGTATCTTTACCTTCAGGTTTTGGGTGGAAAAGCTTTTCTGGAGCATCTTCAGGAACCGGAGCCTCTGCCTGGCCAAATCTCTTCTACCTTCACTCTGTGTTTACATTTTCGAAATCAGCGCTTCCGTTCTAAACCTGTACCCTGTGCCTGTGAGCCAGATTTTCATGATGGTTTTTTACTTGAAGTACACAAGGGTAGCCTAGGTAAGGAACATTGTGTGTTTAAAGCTGATGCTATTGGGTTTTTTTCTGACTTCAGAGTTATTGTGAAGTATGTTTGATATTATTTAGTGGCTTTCCTTCCTATTTTTTATCATGTTTTCCTAAGGAAACTGATTACTGTATTAAGTTACACCACTTGTAGATCTTTCTCTACTCTGGCTTCTTTTCCTTCTACTCCATTCTAAAATAATTTTTGAAGTTGACCGACTTTAACCATAATTGACAGTGAGATGATAGTCTCAGAGATGGTAAGAGATACTAAGGTGGCTGTGATTTTCATGAACTTTGTGCTGACAGGTGAATAAGGGAAATGTAAATTTGTCATCATATGGAAGGAAAAACTTCAGTGTAATTTCAGTTTGCCTACCAGTTGGCAAACACCTGCAGAAGAGTCAGTTATCCATAACCTGTATTACCATTCTTCTGTTGGTAGCCAAGGAACATGATAAGAGCTAAGTATGTTATGAAAAGGCTTCTGGATATTGTCTGAATTCTGTAGAAATCCAGGGTGGCTTATGGAATATCAGGGAACAGAGAGAAAGCCAGAGCTATTGTAGTTGGACTTTGGGAAGGGAGTGAATATAACACAAATTCAAAGAAAACCAGAATTTGTTAATTCTGCTTAGGCTCATGGAGCAGACCCTATATCATAGGATCAAGCTTAACTACAGAGAAAGTTGTTTCCTAAAAACTGATGTATAGTAAGCTGACCTGATGCATTCCAACTTAATAAAATAATATTTTTCAATTTCTTTTACTTAATGGTGCTTTAATATTCTTTATTTTCCTAAATGCTTGTTCCATTTTAATTTTTGTGCAGTGAACCAGTTACATTGGAGTACTCAACTATAGGAATCTTTTTATCTCCACTGTAAATCAACTGTAATCTTTCTGTAGCTCTGTCCTAGACTGAGTTTGATTTTAAGATGGGATCATTGCTTACACTTCTGTACATGAGATGTTTCTTAAAATGCTATGCATGCAATTAATGTAAATGCATAATTTTTTTTAATTTTGAGGAGGACTTGGGATGGTAATATTTTTTTGCTGTCTTATCTTGGTTGAATAATGGCAGGTGATGGAAGTAAAATGGTGGATGCAACCACTGTGTTATCTATATGTGATCCAGTGCATATGGTTCTGATCAAAACAGACACATTTGGTGAGACAACGCTAGTAGCATCCTATTTCTTGGAGTGGCGATCTGTCTTGGCTGCAGAGAATGGCATAACAAACGTTGCTGTTGAACTCCTGGGTGTGGGTAAGGATAAATAATAACACTGTAATGATGACTTGAGATATTGAGTACTGAGCTTGCTTATAAGCTTAAGGCAGTATTTATGGTGTAGTTTAATTTTAGTTCGACTCACAAATTACTATAAGGTATCATTAGAAAATGTGGAGGAGACTAATGGTCAGATTTTTCTGTTACCAAAGTACTAAAAATGTGTATTCCAGATCGTGCGTAGTAATGGCCCCCATGTCTGGGAACTCCCACTTCCCAGATCAACTCCCACTTGATTTTCTGCAAAATCTGGCTAAGTTATCAAAAACAAACCAACCAACCAAAAATCTACCAATTCATGGTTGTGACATGGATTTGATGGATGGACCACTCAGTGGATAAGGAATTGGCTGGATGGTCACGCTCAAAGAGTTGCGGTCAACGGCTCAATGTCCGAGTGGAGACCAGCAATGAGTGGTGTTCCTCAGGGGTCGGTATTGGGACCGGTGCTGTTTAACATCTTTGTTGGTGACATGGACAGCAGGATTGAGTGCAGCCTCAGCAAGTTTGCTGACAATGCCAAGCTATGTAGTGCAGTCGACATGCCGGAGGAGGGATGCCATCCAGAGGGACTTTGACAGACTTGAGAGGTGGGCCTGTGCAAACCTCCTGAAGTTCAACAAAGCCAAGTGCAAGGTCCTGCACCTGGGTCAGAGCAATCCCAAGCACAAATGCAGGCTGGGTGATATGAGTGGGTTGAGAGCAGCCCTGCAGAGAAGGACTTGGGGGTATTAGTGGATGAAAAACTGAATCTGAGCCAGCAATGTGTGCTCACAGCCCACAAAGCCAACTGTATCC